TACAGGCACGCGCCACCATGCCCAGCTAATGTTTTGTATTTTTAGTAGAGACGGGGTTTCACCATGTTGACCAGGATGGTCTCGATCTCTTGACCTCGTGATCCACCTGCCTTGGCCTCCCAAAGTGCTGGGATTACAGGCTTGAGCCACCACGCCCGGCCTGGGTTTCACCTTTTATCTCAACCCTTTGTCAAGGCCTTTACCCAAACAATGTTCCCTCCCTAAGAGGAATTCAGGTGCCAGCCAGTAAGACCTCTTTTCCTGGTACCCCTCACAAAGGCTTCTAGTGGAGCCACACCCAAGGAGGCACTGCAAAAAACCATTTCCAGGATCTGGCTGACTCTTGATGTATCCCTGGAGCTGAGTTTGGAGGCCTGGGGGTGCTATTTACAGAGAAGAAAAGACTCCAGGGAGGTGTGGGCAAGTGCAGAGCCCTCCTACGGTGAAGGTCATTGAAGGGGCTCTGGGGACCCTGGAACACCGTGCAGATGTCGAGGAGGAGCATCCTGCAGACAGGCGTGGGACTGCCCTTAGTGGAGGCATCAATATATTTTCAGTTGCTCCAGAGGGTTGTTGGGATGGAAATTACAGGAGTTCAGATTTCAATAGAGGTCAAGGAGGCATTTGTTTTTCTTTTTTGAGGCGGAGTTTCATTCTTGTTCCCCAGGCTGGAGTGGAATGGCACAATCTCAGCTCACCGCAACTTCTGCCTCCTGGGTTCCAGTTATTCTCCTGCCTTAACTTCCTGAGTAGCTGGGATTACAGGTGCATGCCATCACACTCAGCTAATTTTGTATTTTTGTAGAGACAGGATTTCTCCATGTTGGCCAGGCTGGTCTCGAACTCCTGACCTCAGGTGATCCACTTGCCTCAGCCTCCCAAAGTGCTGGGATTACAGGTGTGAGCCACTGCACCTGGCTGAGGAGGCATTTCTAACAGAAGCCAGTGTTTGACTGTGCAGTGGTGTCTTGTGAGGTGGTATGGTGCTGCAGATTTAGGCTATCTGCCTTGAAGATATATCCCATAAATATATCTTCAGAATAAATATTCTATGGGATATTTATTTATTTTTGAGACAGGCTTTTGCTCTGTTGCCCAGGCTGGAGTGCAGTGGTGCAATTGTGCAATTTTGGCTCACTGCAACCTTTGCCTCCCGGGTTCAAATGATCTCTTACCTCAGCCTCCCAAGTAGCTGGGACTACAGGCACGAACCACCATGCCCAGCTAATGTTTTTGTAGTGATAGGTCTTACTATGCTGCCCAGGCTGGTCTTGAACTCCTGCTTAAGCAATCCTCCCACATTGGCCCTTCCCAAAGTGTTGCAATTACAGGCATGAGCCACCATGCCTGGCCTCTATGGGAGATTTAAATAGTCCACTCTTAAACACCAGTCCAGGATAAGGTCTTCACCAGTCATAGCAAACCAGAAAACAAAGACAAGGTATCTTTCATGAAGCTACATTTGTTTTTTGGTTTGTTTTTGAAACAGGGTTTTGCTCTGTCACCAAGGCTGGAGTACAGTGGTAGGATCACAGCTGATTGCAACCTCTACCTTCTGGACTCAAGTGATCCTTCCACCTCAGCCTCCCAAGTAGCTGCGACCACAGGGGTGTGCCACCATGCCTGGCTTATTTTTTTTTAAATGTCTGTAGAGATAGAGTCCCTGTATTTTGCCCAGTCTGGTTTCAAACTCCTGGGCTCAAGTGATTCTCATTTCAGAGTGTTGGGATTATAGTTGTGAACCACCATGCCCAGTTATGAAGTTTTATTTGTCAAGAAAATATTCTAAGATTGGTTCCTTACAAATTTTTTCTTTTAAAATGGCCTTTCTGTATGAAATGATGATGAGAGTAAATGGCAGACATTTCTTAAAATATTAAATAAAATTTTTTGATACAAAGCCTGGCTTTGTCGCTCAGGCTGGAGTGCAGTGGCACGATCTTGACTCACTGCAACCTCTGTCTCCTGGATTCAAGCAGTTCTCCTGCCTCAACCTCCCAAGTAGCTGGGATTACAGGCATGCACTACCATGCCCGGCTAATTTTTGTGTTTTTAGTAGAGACAGGGTTTCACCATATTGGCCAGGCTGCTCTCGAACTCCTGACCTCATCTGATCCTCCCATCTCAGCCTCCCAAAGTGCTGGGATTACAGGTGTGAGCCACCGAGCACAGCTGGCGCCTGTTTTATTTTTAAGTTCCATTTAGCAAAAAATAAATTCACAAAGTTTGCAGTAGTACATCAGCCTCTATTTAAAAAAAAAAAAAAAAAAGTACTCGTCTTTAAATTCCTAAAGCTTGGAGCTCCCTGGACTGAGTGGTACTTATAGTCCCTTCTGGTTGTGTGGTTTAGTCATAAGGCACAGGCCTAGCTGGCACGGCCACTCCTCCCCACATTCTTCTCACTTCCTCTTTGTCCACTCCCCCAGTTTGGGATGAATGCGCTTCTCCTGTCTGCCTGGTTCGGCCACTTACGGATCCTCCAGATCCTGGTCAACTCGGGGGCCAAGATCCACTGTGAGAGCAAGGTAAGGCCTCTGCTGGCAGCCCCCTGTCCCCTCAGCTCCCCCGGCCCCGGATGCACAGGTCTGCCTCCACCTCTGTATCCCACCCCAGCTTGCCCCTCCAGCCTCCCCACCTGCCTCTGCCTGTCCATTTTTCTTCTGCTCTCTCCCACCTCCCTTTACTACTTGGTGAGTTGGGACAGTCCCCAGCCCTCTGGCCAGCCTCCTTATTGACAAGAGAGGAATCAAAGTAACTCCCTCAGAGGGTAGTTAGGAAAATTAAATGAGCAGGAGGTGAGATCTCCTCCACCCTCCTGCCAGACCCTGCATGCCTGGTGCTCAGTGAGGTGAGGTAAAAGGAGCAAAGCATCATTTACCCAGTGTGGTATGGTGGGCGAGTTACTCCATCACCCTGAGGCTCAGTGTTCCCCTGTGGAAAGGGGGATGCTGGTACCCACCTCAGAGCTGTGGGAGAACAAGGGCACATTAGGAGCCTGACATCTGCTTGCTGCTCACCAGTGTGCACTGTGGTTTGAAGGAGCAGGGTCCCAGCAAGTGAGAGTGCCCGGAATCCCTCCACAGGTGTCTCACCTTTTAGGGTGTCGGTGGCCCATAGGAAAATGCAAACATTTCTGGGCCAAATCCCTTCAGCCAGGAGTTCTCACTTGGGTTCTTGGAGAAAATTCAGGGGACCTATGAACTGGATTGGAAAAAAAGTGCATATTTATTTTCGCTAACTTCTTGAAAATTTAGCATTTTTTCAATGATGAATGTCGGTTGTATTAGTACTTGTGACTTGGTCACTAATAGAAAATGTAGCTATTTTTATATCACATGGAAGTTTTTGCAGTTATCTTAAAATACTCCTTATACTTATCATTACTTTGAAATTATGGAGGTTATTAGATCCTTCACTAGATCTTGTTGTTTAACTGGTCAGTAAGGAAGTACATGTGTTACTGGATTGAAAACTTGGTTTGTAGTATTTTGATAACTTAATTTCAATATAATTGGTTTCCTTTTATGGTAGGGAGAATAATGGAACACCAAAGATATCCATATCCTAATCCCTAAAACCCCTGAACCTCCAGAACCTAATATGCCAACAGGAGTTTGTTGGGTATGATGGGATGTGTGTGAGGTGTGATGCAGGAAGCCAGGGTTGGAGTGATGTGAGCCACTAGCCAAGGAATTTGGGCAGCTTCTAGAATCTAACACCAGGAAACAGATTCTCCCCAAAAGCGTCTAGAAGAAAGCCAACCCAATTTAGACTTCTGACCTCCAGTATTGTAAAATAATCAACTTGTGCTCTTTTATGCCATGAAGTTTATGGTAATTTGTTAAAGCAGCAATACGAAGCTAATAACGCCATTGTAAGCCTGTGTATTTGATTAATAATTTTTTCCTGTATAATTTATTTTTTGTATTTAAGTAAATATTCCAAGAAGGGGCCTATAGGTTTCATCAGATGTAAAAGGGTTGTGGCATGTAAGAGGTCTGTCTCACGCCATTGTTAGGATCCTGCTGGCAGTGGTGGGAGTGCCCCTGAAAGCATTTGAGCTGGAAAATCCATCCCAGAGAAGCATGTCCCTTTGCCATGGGCCATAAGATCTGAGCTGGAGTGTGGGAAGAGGGGCCAGCAGGAGGGCGCCCTGTGAACACACCCAGGTTCAAGCCCAGGGTTCTGCTGTCTGGTCCTGCCGGCCTGGCCTGGCTTGTCCTTGGAAGAGCTCAGTGGCCCTGGGGAATCCAGTGGCTGTCCTCATGGAATATGCTGTAAACGGAGTGTGAATGAGCCTCCATGTTCTAGAATGAGGGAGGCGGGGTCTTGGGTGTATATGGCGGGTGAGGTTCTAAGTCATGGACTCTTCTAGGTAAGCAGATTCCCTCTATATTTGTTTTCTGTTTTCAGTAACAAATTACTCTAAAACTTAAAAGTATCGAATCTGAAAGTAACTATATATTATTTTCCACAATTCTGTGGTTGTCTGGCAGTTCCTCTGGCTTTACCTGGGCTCACCTACAAGGCTGCAGTCAGCAGGTGGTTGGGCTGGGGGCTGGCTGGCCCTGGAGGGTCTCACTCATGTGTCTGGAGCCTCTGCAGGAAGGGTTGGAACGTCTGGGATGGTGTGGCTGGTTTCTCCAGGTGGCCACCAATCCTTGGGGAGGCTAGCACAGACTTCCTTACTTGGCTGCCTCAGGGCAGCAAAAGAGCCAGAGTGGAATTGGCAAGGGCTCTAGAGGCCAAGGCTGGAAAGCCATGTGGTATCACTCCCATTGCATTCAAAAGCCTGTCACAGGACCAGTAGATTCTTGGTAAGAAGAGTAGCACAATCCTGGGTTGCAGTTCCAAGGGCAGGGGGAATAGATGAAGCCAGCTTTGCAAATGATAGACCCCATTCTTCCTTTCAATCTCTTGTTCAAGGTCTTGCCCAAAGGGATTTACCCCACATGTAGATGTCACAGGCCCAGTCCTGCTTCTGCCCTGAAGCTTTCGCCTTTCCCTCCTCCTGTTCACATAGCTCTACCTTGCCAGGCATTGGTGATATTTACAGTTTTACTAAACTACATACTATAGTAAGATATCAGGCTGGGCGCTGTGGCTCAAGCCTATAATCCCACCACGTTGGGAGGCTGAGGCAGGCGGATCACGAGGTCAAGAGATCGAGACTATCCTGGTCAACATGGTGAAACCCTGTCTCTATTAAAAATACAAAAATTAGCTGGGCGTGGTGGCACACACCTGTTGTCCTAGCTACTTGGGAGGCTGAGGCAGGAGAATCGCTTGGACCCAGGAGGCAGAGGTTGCAGTGAGCCAAGATCACGCCACTGCACTCCATCCTGGGTGACAGGAAAAGACTCTGTTTCAAAAAATAAAAAAAGATTTCAGCAGTTTTTCCATTCATATTCTACAATGCTTTAGTCATCTTGTCTCCTTAGTCTCTTTTAATTTTGTGATGCTTTCTTAGTTTTTCCTTGTTTTCTATGACTTAACCCTTTTGGAGAGTAGTAGCCAAGTATTTTGTGTAATGTCCTTCAGTTTGGGTTTGTCTCGTGTTTTCCTCATGAAAATCATCAGTCCAGGGCTATGAAATCTGGGAAGAACACAAGAGGGAAGTCCCCTTCTCATCCCTTCATATCAGGGGATCCATGATACTGACATGAAAGACACATATTGAAAATTTATACTCACTGAGATTGGACCACTGTCAAGATGTGAAACACTGTTCTACTGACTTTTATGACCCATGGATGGGTTGCAAAAAGGACTTCAAATAATCTGACCTTAATGTAAGGTGGTAGTAGAAGCTTTGGGACATAAACAGGATTTGCAAGCCTCCCTCCTGTTGCTTCTAGGCTCCAGAGACCTTCTTCCTGTCTACCTCCCAACCTAGGCCACTTTGGAGCGTCTACTCCCTGCAGACCACATTTCCTTTTTTTCTTTTGATGGAGTTTCGATCTGTCACCGAGGCTAGAGTGCAGTGGAACAATCTTGGCTCACTGCAACGTCCACCTCCTGGGTTCAAGCAATTCTCCCACCTCAGCCTCCCGAATAGCTGGGATTACAGGCACCTGTCACCACGCCCGGCCAATTTTTGTATTTTTAGTAGAGATGGGGTTTCACTATGCTGGCCAGGCTGGTCTTGAACTCTTGACCTCAGGCGATCTGCCCGCCTTCGCCTCCCAAAGTGCTGGGATTACAGGCATGAGCCACCGCACCTGGCACACATCTGCTCTTAATCTGCCCTAGAAGGTTAGGAGGTCACTTCCTAGTGACATACACTGGTCACTTAGTCACCTGCTTCTTCATTAGCAGCTGTATCAAGGGAGGCAGATGCCTAGAACCTTCTTAACTGTTCTGGAGGCTACTAGTGCTATATACGACCACACCGTACATGTTTAATTTTCAGTTGATAAAATACTTTTCCTGTAGGTCCAGTCCTCTCAACCACCCACTGACGTGGTCAGGGATTATGATGCTAGTTTGTCCCGTGTGAAAATGGAAGCTCAGGCTGAGCACGGTGGCTCACGCCTGTAATTCTAGCACTTTGGGAGGCAGAGGTGGGTGGATCATGAGGTCAAGAGATTGAGACCATCCTGGCCAACATTGTGAAACCCTGACTCTACTAAAAATACAAAAATTAGCTGGGCGTGGTGGCGCGTACCTGAAGTCCCATTACTCGGAAGGCTGAGGCAGCAGAGTCGCTTGAACCCAGGAGGCGGAGGTTGCAGTGAGCCGAGATTGTGCCACAGCAAGACACGTTCTTAAAAAAAAAAAAAAAAAAAAAAAATGGAGGTTCAGATAGGTCGCAGTAACTGACCCCAGACTGCAGAGCTGAGGAGTGCTGGAGCTGGGATTTGAACTTTGGCATCCCAACTCCTGCCAGCCCCTCTTAGGCTGGGTGGGCAGCAGAGTGGGTTATCCTTGGGGCCCATTCATCATTGACAGTGTTGAATCCATGGGGAGGCTGTGCGCTGGGTCTCAAACACTCGCTGTTTCGGAGACTAGCAGTGTGTGAGAAGGGCCTCCCTTCGCAGACTGCAGGGACCATCCTGCACTTGTTTCCAGGATGGCCTGACCTTACTGCACTGTGCAGCCCAAAAAGGCCACGTGCCTGTGCTGGCATTCATAATGGAGGACCTGGAGGATGTGGACCTGGACCACGTAGACAAGGTGAGAGTGTCTCAGGGCTACTCATCATTCCCATTGTGGGCAGGGCTCCTGGGGCCACTCTTGCCTACTGGGCTTACCACATTCCTCGGGTGTATCCTTTGATCTGTGGGCAGACTGCACCTGGCCTGGGGAGTCATTGGTTGGGAAGAGGTGTTGGGGTGCAAATGAGCAAAATACAAGCAGAACACAGTCAGCTGCCGCAGAATGCCCTAATCAAGGATTAGATGGGTTAGAAAAGGGAGGCATTGCCTCTGCTTCCTGGAGGAGTTAACATTTGGTAAATAAACTGGATTTGTGGGTAAGATAGAAAATCAGGGATTGGAAGGGGCACCAAATGGAAGAGTGAGGCTTGTGGGAGCTTTAGGGATAGGAATGGGCTCTAGTGTGAGTTTGAGGGACTGTAATCTTAGGAGGGAAAGTCTGATGGGTGGTTGGGGGTCCCTCTGGAGATCTCAACCCCTATTCTCAGGAATCTGTTTATTCATTAGGCAGCAAGAAAGGACTCCACCAAGTGGCGCTTGCTGGGAAGTTGGGTCTGGGCTTTCCAGGGAGGGTGTGGGGAGGCAAAGGGAGAGGACAGTGTCTGGGGCAGGAGAGGCCACTGCAAGGCCAGAGTGGTTGGGGAACAGAAGGCAGGTGGGCAGAGGCAGGTATGCCAACTGACAGAGCAAGGGAGGTTCACACCCCTTTTCCTCCTGGCTAGCTGGGGAGGACAGCATTTCACAGGGCAGCTGAGCACGGGCAGCTGGATGCTCTGGACTTCCTCGTGGGCTCTGGCTGTGACCACAGTGTCAAAGACAAGGTACTGTGTCTGTGAGGTTCTGGGATCCTGACCAGGGTGCAAAACTTGCTACCTTCTAGGCTCTGGCTTCTCACCTGTGTCCACGTCTGACTCCCACTGTGCTGGAGGGGCACGTGGGCCAAAGATGAGAAGCTATCTAGTGTTCATCCAACAGGTGCTTCACCAGCATGTGCCATAGGCCAACCCTGTGCTACAGGTTGGTGGCATAAAGATGCCCAAGACATCATTTCTCTTTTTTTTTTTGAGACGGAGTCTCGCTCTGTTGCCCAGGCTGAGCATAGGCAATGGCATGATCTTGGCACACTGCAACCTCTGTCTCCAGGATTCAAGTGATTCTTCTGTCTCAGCCTCCCTAGTAGCTGGGATTACAGGTGCACACCACCATGCCCGGCTAATTTTTGTATTTTTAGTAGAGATGGGGTTTCACCATGTTGGTCAGGCTGGTCTTGAACTCCTGACCTAGTGATCCACCTGCCATGGCCTCCCAAAGTGCTGGGATTGCAGGTGTGAGCCACCACACCTGGACCACACCCTTTCTTACTTAAGGAACTCAGTGCCACAGTCATAGTAAGGATCTCTGATCCACCGTGGCTGGCTAGGGTGGCAGATCTAGGTGGTTGGTAGCGCTGCCTGGAGTGGGTTGGGCAGGGCTGTGACCTACTGGGGTTGTCTGTTTGTTGGCAGATGTGGGGAACTGTTGGGGGTGGTAGCCACACAGCTGCTCTGCTATGGTTATGGCAGGAATAGGATGGGAGCACAGAGGAGGGAGCATATCATTCAGGGCTTATGAGCAGGATTTCACCCAACTGAGAGGGGATAAGGGACGGGGACCGGAGAGTCTACTCTGCAATGACTCTTATCATTATACCCTTGTGAATCATTAACAAAATATGATATAGGAAATTCTAATTGATGCCTCCAACAAAGAGATGAACTCCATTATTAATCTTCTGGTTAATGTGCTTGGCCAGGATAGCGGGAGTTCAGTGTATACAGAAGTGATAGAGAGCTCACACACAAATGCACTACAGGTTGTTGGAACTGGAAGGTATCTGAATTCAGCCTTCTCGTTCTACAGCTGTGGAAACACACCCAGAAAGGGAAATGCCTTAGCCAAGGTCACACAGTGAGACAAAGGTAGAGCTCAATTTGAAACCATTATCCTAATGCATAAAGCTGTGCTCCTCCCTTTACCAGGCTGCCTCCTGGGACACTGACCCCCTTGAGTTCTGCACCGAGTCTATCCACACTCATTCTTCTGGGCTGAGCAGGTCTTGCTGTGTGCAAGGCATTGAGCCAGGAATTGGGTATACAGAGAGAGGAGAGGGCAGCACCTGCCAGGACTGGCTTACCCAAGAGGCAAAATGATCACACCTCAGGGCCCCAGGAGAGCATGAGCACCAAGAACAGAGAAAGAAAATACAGCTTTGATGAACTTCTCCAGAATCTTGCAACCAGAAATTCTGCAAAGAAGCTTTTAAAATTGTATACCCTTGTTAAGTTTTGCATTTTCAGGATAGGAGTGTTTTCATTTTCACTTTCATCTGGGGAGGGGGCACAGTAAGTTTTTCAAGACCTGCTAAGGGGGTAGACCTCTTAGAGTCAGTAACAACAGAGGTCATGCCACATGTGCTCTAGAATGATAGGGAGGCTTAGAGAGCCCAGAGAGAGTGATGAACTCCACTTGGAAGGGCGAGGTGTTGCTGTCCAGGCCTCACAGAGGTGGAGATGCTGGACATCCCCAAGGTGGAGGCGAGAGGGCCCCAGGCCCACACCAAGGCTGACTTCTGCCCAGTGCTCCTGCCTCCGAGCCCCCTGCCCTGCCCAGGAAAGTGCAAGTGCCCATCAGGCATCCGTGTACCACTTGCAGCTTCAAATGGCAGGACATGGATATTTATAACCCAGAAGGAAGAGAAAAGCCCTGCCATGGTCTTCTCACCCTGTTAACTGGGGGCACGTGTTGGCCCTTCCTGGTTCACCTGCTTCCTTCGTGTCTCTGAACACAGAGATTTCACGCTGTGACTGCATTTCCCACCGCGGGTCCCAGCGCACAGCAGCCAGCCTACAGGCGCTATGTGTGTCTGCAGAGAAGCTGGCAAGGAGGGGAAGACAAAGCTGTTCAGGGCTTTTAAAAAATATTTTAAATTTTTATTATTTTTAGCTGAATTCAACTTTTTTTTGAGACAAGATCTTGCTCTGTTGCCCAGGCTGCAGTGTAGTTGTGCAATCACAGCTTACTGCAGCCTCAACTCCCCATGTTCAAGCAATCCTCCTGCCTCAGTCTCTCCAGTATCTGTGACTACAGGCATGCACCACCACACCACATCTTGCTAATTTTTGCATTTTTTGTAGAGACAGAGGCTGGAATTCCTGGGCTCAAGCTATCTGCCCATCTCAGCCTCCCAAAGTGCTGTGATTACAGGTGTGAGGCACTGTGCCTGGCAGGGAGATCCCTTTAAAGGACAACATCAAGCAGGAAGACCTCAGCAGGGGCCACTTCTAATACAAAGTACGTTGGGATCTCTGCCCTGCCCAATGCAGCTGCTTCTCTTGGCTATGTCACTGTCACCTTTAGACTTTCCAAGTGCAAAGCAACTCAAGTTCCAGAGGAAACATGTCGAGCTCTCTATATGATCACCTGAAGACCCTCCTACGTTACTGACTCATTGAACACTCTACTGAGTGTTGTCCATGTGCCCCAGGCCCTATTCTAGGCACTTAAGGAAACTTCAGAGAACAAAATAGATGCACAGCCCTGTTCCTGTGGTGCTTATGTTCCAGCAAGAAGAGTCAGACATGTGGAACCAACCCAAATGCCCATCAATGATAGACTGGATTAAAAAAATGTGGTATATATACACCATGGAATACTATGCAGCCATAGAAAGGAATGAGATAATGTCCTTTGCAGGGACATGGATGAAGCTGGAAGTCATCATCCTCAGCAAACTTAACACAGGAACAGAAAACCAAACACTGCACTATCTCATTCATAAGTGGGAGCTGAACAACGAGAACCACACGGACACATCACATACTAGGGCCTGTTGGGGGGTGAGGAGGGAGAGCATCAGGACAAATAGCTAATGCATGCGGGGCTTAATACCTAGGTGACCGGTTGAGAGATGCAGCAAACCACCATGGCACAGGTTTACCTATGTAACAAACCTGCATGTTCTGCACATGTATCCTGGAACTTAAAATTAAAAAAAAAAAAAAAAAAACAAGAGTCAGACAATAAACACTAAGCGCACAGTCGGTGACTGTGTTAGCAGGTGATCTGCGTGGTGGGGAAAGGAAAAGCAGAGCAGGAAAATAGGCTCAGGAGGACAGAGGAAGGGTTTGCAATTTCAGAATGTGGGCCGTGTAGGCCATGCTACTCAATGAGAAATCAACATCTCACACACAGACTTGAGGGAGGCGGGTGACTGAGCCAAGCAGCTGCCTGGAACAGCATGAGCTCAGGGGAGAGTTGCTGGGACCTTGAGCAGTGAGAAGAGATGGATTTGGGGGACCCGAGGTGGGACTGGCTTCAGATGGGTACATGGAAAGTAGAATTAGTTTTGTTTAATTTTTAAGCAAAGTGCCTGCCTTAAAGTGTAACAAAAGAAAGACCAGGGTCTGGCCCTTGAACATGCCCCTGGTTGTAGTTTTTGGCACAGTTCTTAGGCGCAGGGTGGCACCCACCCAGTGTGCATGGCTGCAGCTCATCGCAGCTCTGTGATTCTGGGGCTCTGTGGTCTGCTGGCCTCTCAGGAGCCCTTTTTCTGGCAGGAGGGGAACACAGCCCTTCACCTGGCTGCTGGCCAGGGCCATGTGGCTGTGCTGCAGCGACTTGTGGACATCGGGCTGGAGCTGGAGGAGCAGAATGCGGTGAGTCACCACTTGGGGGATGCTGAGATGTGTGACTCTGGCTTGCTGTCTGCCTTCGAGGAAGCCTCAGCCAATGGTGAGGAGGCTGAGGGCATGATCTCACACTGAGAGTCCACTAGGGAATGACAAGTGGCAGCACAGAACTCCAGGCTTAGTGGTGGCGCTTGGCATGATGGATCACCAAAGAAGTGAGACAGAGAGTGTTTGTCCAAGGAAGGGAGAAGTCGCCATGGACAGGATGGTCAGGGAGGGCTTCCTGGAATAGGAGGAAATAGACAGCAGGGAGGAGCTGAGACAGCCTGATAGGGGAAGAACGTGAGCAGAGATGTGGAGCCAGGAGTGACTATGCCATGTGTGTGCTCCACAAAGTGAGGACATCAGTGTGAGGCTCATGTGACCACAAACAAGAAAGCTCGTTGTTCCCAGGGGCAGGGCAGTGGAGAGTTCAAGGGGCCCTGGGGCCGAGGCAAAAGAGGTGTCCTCTCACTGTGGGATTGGGGGTCCTTGGGTGGGCCTCCCCACCATCCTCATCACTCTCCTTGTGTGTTGCAGGAAGGTCTGACCGCCCTGCATACGGCTGCTGAGGGGACCCACCTTGACTGTGTGCAGCTCCTTCTTAGGGCTGGGAGCAGCGTGAACGCACTCACCCAGGTAGCCAGGCCCTCCTAAGACTGCCGTCTGCTCTTGGCTGCTGAGCCATAACCATGTCAGAAGTAACTGCCGCAGTGATTCCTGAACACTGAGTGAATAGAGGCTTCTAGGCAGCAGGCCAGGTTCTGATCTTGGCTTCTCCACTGCTGAGCCCTGTGACCCAGAGCAAGTTACTTAACCTCTCTGAGCCTTGTTTCCCAACTATAAAGTGGGATGACATTTACTTTTTTACATAGTTGTGAGGATTAAATACCTAACACAGTGCACAGGACATAATACAGCCCAACACCTCAACACCTGTTAGTGTCTTTTTTTTTTTTGAGATGGGTCTTACTCTGTCACGCAGGCTGGAGAGCAATGGCGCCATCTTGCCTCACTGTAACCTCCACCTCCTGAGTTCAAGCCGTTTTCCTGCCTCAGTCTCCTGAGTAGCTGGAACTACAGGTGTATGCCACCACACCCGGCTAATTTTTGTATTTTTTTGGTAGAGATGGAGTTTCACCATGTTGGCCAGGTTAGCCTTGAACTCCTGACCCCAAGTGATCCTCCCACCTCAGCCTCCCAAAGTGCTGGTATTATAGGTGGGAGCCATTGCACCCGGCCCTGTTACTGTCTTCCATTTGTTGAGCTCTTGATAGTTCACAAAGCCTCTTTGTAACTGTTACCTCAGAAAAATTCTACCCATTTTGCAGATGAGAAAACTGGAGCTTAGAGGGCACTTTCTCAGGTTCACAAGCTAGTAAGAGGCAAAGCTGAGTTTCGAAGCCTGTTCCCCTGACTCCACAGTGCCACCCACTGGTAAAGCTTTCCCCTGACAAAGCTGGGGCTTGTGTGACCCTGGACGAACCTCTTCTCTCTCTCCCCACTGTCCTCATCAATTCTGCCGGCAGAAATTCTTCTCTATGACCTGGAAAGCTGGGATGTGGCCTTTCTTTATGTAATGAGTTGGTGTTTTTGCTTTGCTTTTTAGTTTTGAATCAGTGACAAATAACCTTTCTGGCTGGTTGAATGGCTTCAGGTTCTGTAATTCTTGCTTTGTTCTAAATGTCAATAGTATAGCAGAAATATTAATAATAAATAATATGACCAAGCATGGTGGCTCACACCTGTAATCTCAGCACTTTGGGAGGCTGAGGTGGGTGGATCATGAGATCAGGAGATTGAGACCATCCTGGCTAACACGGTGAAACCCCATCTCTACTAAAAATCCAAAAAAAAAACTGGGCATGGTGGCAAGTACCTGCAGTCGCAGCTGCTCAGGAGGCTGAGGCAGGAGACTTGCTTGAACCCAGGAGGCGGAGGTTGTGGCGAGCCAATATTGCGCCACTGCACTCCAGCTTGGGCGACAAGAGCCAGACTCCATCTCAAAAATTAAAACCAAAAAATCAACAATAAAATAGTAGCAAAAACAGTTCAAAAACAGAGAATTAAAATGTTATGCTAAAAAATTATTTCCCCACTGCTTAATTTGGCTTTCTAAAAAAAAAAAAAAAGTAGGCTAGATAAGGTGGCTCATGTCTGTAATCCCAGCACTTTGGGAGGCTGAAGCTGGAAGATTGCTTGAGCCAGGAGTTTGAGGCTGCAGTGAGCTATGATTGCACCACTGTACTCCAGCCTGGGCGACAGAGTGAGACCCTGTCTCAAGAAAAAAAATAAAAGAGAGACTGGGGAGGTTGCACCTAGCTGGGTGGCCACTGTGTCGGGGCTGGAGCTGTTCATCACGCCAGGGCTTGTACTCCAGCCTCCGATTGCAGTTTCTGGCAGAGGCCACATTCCATTTCAACACTCCCACTCCTCTTAGAATGTCATGCTGCAGGGTCTGGGAGGAGGTGGCAAGCCCACGATGACTGCATTTCCTATTATGAGATGGACTGAGTCCCACACAACCCAGGTGCTCACTCAGTTGGGACTTTAGCAGGATGGCTAGCTGGTCCTGGTTTGACCCATACTGTCCTGATTTTAAAATGGAAAGTTGCACATCTCACGAACTCCTCAATCCAGGGCAACTGAGACAGTGGATCACCTTAGTAGGACTTGCCTGGTGTGTACCTTGTGTAAGGTGATCATTGGATCAGGTTGGGCTTTGACTGAAAGAGACTTTGAGGCCCACCGAGATCACGTGTCCATTCTGGCTCTGCCAGGATCCTGTTTGGATGCGCCAAGACCAGCTTGTGCTGAGCAGTGCATGCTGGGTAGTGTCTGCTCTGTACTGGCAAATCTTACTTGTCTTCCTCTTTGAAAACCACCTCCACCCCAGTGGCTCACACCTGTAATCCCAGCACTTTGGGAGGCCGAGACAGGTGGATCACAGGGTGAGAAGTTCAAGACCAGCCTGGCCAACATGGTGAAAACCTGTCTTTAGTAAAAATACAAAAATTAGCTGGGTGTGGTGGCGGGTACCTGTAATTCCAGCTACCTAGGATGCTGAGGCAGAATTGTTTCAACTTGGGAGGTGGAGGTTGCAGTGAGCTGAGATCATGCCTCTGCACTCCAGTCTGGGTGGCAGAGCAAGACTCTGTCTTGTAAAAAATAGAAAAGAAAAGAAAAGAAAAAGAAACCAATTCCTTAGAGTTGATCATCTGCATGTCTTTACCAGCCATGGAATTGGGCAGGCTTTAGTCTACATTCCTGTGTTTGTAATAGGAGGTGAGGAAAAGACTGAGACCATAGTGAGTTTCTTTTACTGGTCACCAGGCCTGGGAAAGTAATTGATTTTCCAGCCTTAGTTTAACAGGGATGATACTCCCAGAGGGGTTGTGACACTCAAATGGAAAAATGAATCTCAAAGAGCTTTGCGAACCTCAGCAGAAGGGGTCCTTGTGACATTGCATTGATGCCTGTTTCCTTCTAGAAAAACCTGAGCTGCCTTCACTATGCAGCCCTCAGTGGCTCAGAGGACGTGTCTCGGGCCCTCATCCACGCAGGAGGCTGCACCAATGTAGCTGATCATGTAAGTGTGGGTACAAGGGTTGAAGGGAGTCTCCTTTGCAAAGCCTTCCATGAGCACACTGATGAAGCACAGGGGGAAATGGGCACATCAGACCCTTGGGGTTGGGATGCGGGCCAGGAGTAGGGGAGCTGGCAGCACTTAGGAAAGTCAAATACTGTGGTAGCTGGAATAGGATCAGAAACTAAGCTCACAATTCCTCTTAAATGAATTATCAGCTTGTGTTTTCTGCTCATTTATGCATTGGGGTTTTTTTTTTTGTTGTTGTTGTTTTTTGTTTTTTTTTTGAGAGAGAGTCTGGCTCTCTTGCCCAGGCTGGAATGCAGTGGCGAGATCTTGGCTTACTGCAACATCCACCTCCCAGGTTCAAGCAATTCTCCTGCCTCAGCCTCCTGAGTAGCTGGGACTACAGGCGCCTGCCACCACGCCTGGCTGATTTTTGTATTTTTAATAGGGACAGGGTTTCACCATGTTGGCCAGGCTGGTCTTGAACTCCTGACCTCAGGTGATCCGCCTGCCTCGGCCTGCCAAAGTGCTGGGATTACAGGCATGAGCCATGGTGGCCGGCTGAGAATCTTAAGGTATTGTTTCTAGGAGGGACCACGGCAAACGTCACTTGACAGATGAAGAGTAGCAGAGAAGGGAAATGATTTGCCCAAGGTCACATAGTGAGTTTCTGACATAGCAGGGGTCTCGCCCTTGTGTCTTCAGACCCTCACCCTCACCCACCTAGGGGCTCAGTTTTGGGCTCGAGGAATTCAAGCTTTGCGACCATAATTGCCTAAGGCCACCCATGTCATCCAAGAAGCTAAAAGGGCCAAACCCAGAAGCACTGTACCCTTCCCTCCTTCTGTCTCCAGCACCAGCCTCCAGCGGGGCAGTTCTGGGACGGACTCATTGATTGATTCGTGTATTTCCTCCCACAGCAGGGCGCCTCTCCTATGCATCTCGCTGTCAGGCACAACTTCCCTGCCTTGGTCCGGCTCTTCATGAACTCTAACAGTGACTTGAATGCCATGGACAATGTAAGTGGCTACAGAGACCATCCGGGCCCCAGGGAGCTTCTGGAAACCTCCCAGGCTGGCAGGTCTTGGCTGTGGTCTCCTAGCATGGCCCAGAGTTGAGGAATTGCTCTTTTAGCTCTTAAAAGGTAATTTGAATAGTTGTTGAAGGAAATATCATTTTGTTCTTCATTCCCCTCTTTTGAATATTTTGGGTGTTCCCAAGTTTTGGCCATGATCTATAACATTGCAGTGAACATCTTTTTACTTTCAATCTTTTCCTTTCATTGCTTTTTTTTCCTTAGGGAAAATTTCCAGGGCAGGGGTGACGGAGGCAGTCTTGTGTAACAAGAGGCCTCTGAGTCCTGAAGCTGTGATCAGTAAAGAGCCCTTTTAAATCCTGTCCCCACAATCTACCCACCAGCCATATAATTCTCAATACCAGCAAGGGCATGGCACACAGAGCCACTGGGAGTCAAAAGCAATTTGACAGAATATATCATATATCTTTAAATGATATGCATTAGCACTGCTGGGAACTGAGCCTTGAGAAACATATTAAAAGCTCATGCATAGAGATATTCATTGCAGTATTGTTTATCAGTCTTCAATTTGAAAATGGCCTAGGCAGGCATAGTGGCTCACGCCTGTAATCCCAGCACTTTGGGAGGCTGAGGTGGGTGGATCACAAGGTCAGGAGATCAAGACCATCCTGGTTAACATGGAGAAACCCTGTCTCTACTAAAAATACAAAATTAGCTGGGCATGGTGGTGGGCGCCTGTAATCCCAGCTACTCAGGAGGCTGAAGCAGAGAATCGCTTGAACCTGGGAGGTGGAGGTTGTAGTAAGCCGAGATTGCACCATTGCACTCCAGCCCGGGCAACAAGAGCAAAACTCTGTCTCAAAAAAAAAAAAAGAAAATGGCCTAAATATTTAATCATAGGGAAATAGGGAAGCAGTTAGGTAAATTATGGCATAAACAGACTATTATGGAGTTATCAAAATGGTGTTTATCAGAGTTTATAGTACATAAAAAGTGTTATGTTGGGGTAAAAAAATAAGATGCAAAATGTACATACATATAGGATGATCTCATGTATGTAAAACCAACAAGCTAAAAACATTCTGCGTTAAAGAAAAGAGTAGAAGAAATATACTAGGATCATTGTGGGGGTTGACTTAGGATGTCAGGCCACCCCTATATGCTTTTCACTCACCTGTTCCCTTGGCTTCTCTCCTAGAGGCAGCAGACGCCCCTTCACCTGGCTGCAGAGCATGCGTGGCAGGACATAGCAGAGATGCTCCTCATTGCTGGGGTTGACTTAAACCTGAGAGATAAGGTACCTCTGCTTACAACTCACCTCACTTCAGGCTTTCATGGCTCCCCCTTTGCCAAAGACTCTGCTACAAATGCCTCCTCCCTCCTTCCTCTCAGGGTGTTCAAGGACTGCCATCCTTTCTATACCAGCTCAAATGCAGCCTCCTCCTCTACCACCTTCCCCTGTCTCTACTGAGGTCCCCCCCATCTCTGGTATAGGCCTGTGAAATGATTGCTTTCTTCTTTATGGCCCCCATCAGACTGCAAGCTCCTGAGTCACCTGGTGGGGTGGGGGAGTAGAATACCACAGCACTGCCCAACAACCCCCACATGTGAGACAGGGTTTGGGGACGTTTTCCAGCTCATTGTACCTCTGGGACAGCTACTTCTGCAGGTGCTGGTGGTCTCAGAAGAGCCGAAGACTTGGTATGAGGCTGGGAGGTCACAGGCATATGAGGGGAAGGGCACTTGCACATGTGACTCAGCAAGGCCAGCCTGTGATGGTGTGGGTAGAGCTGGGGGCCAGGATCAGACCCTGAAGCTGGACCTAGGAGGGGACTCCCTGCTTTGAGCTAGGCCCTGGGCAGCTGGTCAGATGTAAAGAGGAGCTTCCCATCTCACTGCAGGTCTGTGGAGGCCTGGAGAAAAGGAGGCCTGGTTGGAGGTGGGCAAAGGTGACATGATCAGCCCATGCCCCCATCTCTGGGCTCTGGTTTCTTTATCTGAAAAGTGGGTTGGAACCCCTTTTTCACAGAGGATGTTGAAGAAGTAATGAGGGCTGAGTTTCATAAGCTCTAAAGCTTCCTAATTTCTAAAGAAACACAAGAGGTGGTCATTGGAATTATGTATTGCTATTCCTTTATTCTATTTGTAACTTTTCCATTTCCCCATCATACCCAGAAAACCAGAAAACCTTTCTGCTGTCAGCGTAGACTGCTGGAAACTGCTTCCTGTGGGCAGGAGGGTTTGTCCCTAGTATTAGAGGCCCTCGTGCACCCCCTCCTGTAGAAACTCTGGCTTCTCTTCTTGCCTCTTAATTGCAGCAGGGAAAAACTGCCCTGGCAGTGGCCGCCCGCAGCAACCATATCAGCCTGGTGGACATGATCATAAAAGCTGATCGTTTCTACAGATGGGAGAAGGTATGGAGGCCCCATGCTTTATCTTAAAGGGAGTGATTCTGGCTCCAGATGGAGCTGTATTTGAACCCCAGCCCTGACCAATTCTGGGTCTCTCAGTCTCCATGTGGGTGAAAATCATCACCTTGTATGCTATCACAGTTGTTTGTGAGGATCTGGTGATGGGCAAGTGTCCAAACACACTGAAACAAGGCAGACTGAGGTCCATGCCAGCGTGGAGATACTGCCAGACACTGCTGTAGCTTCTGGCTGATGAAAATGCATGTGTGAATATATACAGACATGTGTGAAAAAGAGATGGCAGATTCCATCTCATGCCATCTCCAGGTGATTGGAACTGCTGCTTGGGATGTTATGCTCGGGCCACTTTCTGAGCCAGAAGTAAGTGTGCTGGGATTGATTAGCAATGTATGTTGTGGACTTGGGACAGAAGATTGGCAGAATGTTTGCTAATCCAGTTAGCAAATGGGGGTAGGGAGTTTTTTTGGTGTCCTTGGGTTGTTTTTATATACCGAAAATAAGTTTGTATTTACTTCACTTTTCAAAGTTAATACAGATGGTCCCCAATCACAATGGTTTGGCTTATGTACTTCATGATGGCACAAAAGCGATACACATTAAGTAGAAACCATACTTTAAGTACCCATGCAGCCATGCTGCTTTTCACTTCAGTATTCAATAAATTATGTGAGATATTTAGCACTTTATTATAAAATCAGCTTTGTGTTAGATGTGTCCACTATGAGCTAATGTAAGTGTACCGAGAACATGTAGGTTAAGCTAAGCTATGATGGTCTGTAGGTTAGAGGGATTCAGTGCATTTTAAACTTATGATTTTTTTTTTTTTTTTTTTTTTGAAACGGAGTCTCTCTCTGTCAGCCAGGCTGGAGTGCAGTGGCAAAATCTTGGCTCATTACAACCTCTGCTTTCTGGGTTCAAGCAATTCTTCTGCCTCAGCCTCCTGAGTAGCTGGGACTACAGGCCCGTGCCACCAAGCCTGGCTAATTTTTTGTATTTTTAGTAGAGACAGGGTTTCACCATGTTAGCCAGGATGGTCTTGATCTCCTGACCTCGTGATCCACCCGCCTCAGCCTCCCAAAGAGCTGGAATTACAGGTATGAGCCACTGCACCCAACCAACTTATATTTGTATCGAAACATAACCCCATCATAAGTAGAGGGGCATCTGTATTGAACGTGGTAAATTACAAATTTTAAAACCTAGTTTTTCTTAAACTTTAAAATCCATTTTATAAATCTTATTATTCTATTTATACAACTAGTAAATTTTTCCAGGCAGTTTCAAGGAAGTCTTTTGATTAATGTTGGGTCCCGTGTTTAAACGTAGTTAAACTACCTTAAACATTTAAATGGAACGAATAAATTTAATATAATAGATTTTCTTTTTAAGCACTTCAAATGCTTCTTAAATTCTTATTCTAATGTGACCATTAATTTAAACTTATAAATAATCTCAAATATCTTAAACATTTCAATGTGGTTTACAAACTTAGTAAACTTCTTTTATCCGTTTTAAATAAAAATTACTGTTTCAAAATCAATTGGTGGATAAATTTAGGAATCATAAGATGTTCTCTCACTGATATGCTAGATTCTCTTAAACATTACAACCCCTTTATATATAACAGATTATTCCTAAATAAAATCCCAAAATGTTAATACTGAGGGTTTTACTAACTGACTCATCTCTCTGCTGATTACTAAGCCACTTCAGGCTTTACAGTTCCTCACCACTAAGGCAGTGGCTGCATATCAGAATCACAAATCCCCCCTGGGCCCCCAGAGCAATTCAGGTAGAATCTCTGAGCTGGGGGCCAGGCATCAGTGGTTCTTAAAGCTCCTAGATGATCTCAATGTGCAAACGGGGCTAAAAACACTGCCCCAGGGGACCAGTTTTTAATACCCCAGGTGAGGACCAAGCTTCACCTCACATTGATTGCTAGAGACTGTTGACCATGATGTAAACTTTGAAATTGCAGACACCAGGGTGATTTTCTTCACCCTGAATTTAACAACCAGAACTCTGCATCCATTCCCTTTAGATGGGCTTAGGCTTTTGTGGGCTTCATTTATGCTATGATAGAATTCCTTCGTAACCTCTAATTTCATTGCCGGCTTTGCTAGAAAGGATTTTGTAATCCCACCCTTTACTCACCATTGCAGTTCAGCAAATCTGATTCTTGCCCTGCTAGTTTTGGCCAAAGCTTCGGAGTCCTTCTGCTGATGCCCATGCTATAAGAACACAGGAGCCAGGCATGGTGGCTCATGCCTGTAATCCAAGCACTTTGGAGGCCAAGGCGGGTGGATCACCTGAGGTCGGGAGTTCAAGACCAGCCTGACCAACATGGTGAAACCCCATCTTTAAAAAATAAAAAATTAAAAAAAAAAAGAACACAGGAAAGAGGCTGGGCACAGTGGTTCATGCCTGTAATCCCAGTAGCACTTAGGGAGGCCGAGGCGGGTGGATCACCTGGGGTTGGGAGTTCAAGAACAAGCCTGGCCAACATGATGAAATCCCATCTCTATTAAAAATGCAAAAAAAAGGCCGGGCGCGGTGGCTCAAGCCTGTAATCCCAGCACTTTGGGAGGCCGAGATGGGCAGATCATGAGGTCAAGAGATTGAGACCATCTTGGCCAACATGGTGAAACCCCGTCTCTACTAAAAATACAAAAATTAGCTGGGCATGGTGGCGTGCAC